TAGCTAGGACAAATAACTGATTTCATTTAATTTTCAGAAGTCCCTTCTCCAATTCAGTAGATCTTGATTAAATTAAACATTTACAGGTTTTATGTACTGCTTTCCTCTTGATAAATAGTAAAGTGAGCATTCAGCAAATGGCAATGGAAAAAAATAGATTTATATATTTGCATATATTATTTAAATCTAGCATTGAAATCTTCTTTTTCTCATCTTCAATCTGATTTCACATGCATTCCACAAAATAAGCTAAATGGACTGGCTTTGCTGAACAACCATAAGAGGTTTGCTAATGAGCTGTTTTCGTGAAGAATATCACCTCACTAGCTATTATTCAAATATAAGGGAATACAAAGGAAAGTAAACCTTCTAAATTTGTTCTTGTAGAGCCTTTGATGTGCCTTTCTTATGAACAGAAATACAGTGTGTGTGTGTGTATAGGGTTTCTCTAAAATGGTCTGGGAAAACCATTTGGCAACGGAAGCGAGCCCTCTGCTAAGCATCATATTCTCAAAATTTAATGTTATCATGCAAACAAATTGTCAGTGCTGTAGTTTCACTGCTAGCTCATGTTAATATCTGATTTACTATTTGACACTGAAATTTCTCAAACGTCAGAGGTATGACAAGTCATGCAAATTATTTGGAACATATATCATGATAGATAAATCCATAAATTCTAAGCTAGATAAATCCACATATACACAACCAGACCATAATTTCTGTGGTCCCATGTATTCGACATAATTATTGATTGGGATTCAATTATTTGTTCCCCAACAGTTGGACAACCGTAGGAATTTGTACACAGCTGTACAATATGGTGCTTCTTCATTTTATGACTTGTTATGTAATGCAATTAGTGGGTACTCACAACTCTCATGACTAAGGTTAGAAAGAAAACCAGAAGTACAAATGCAGCAAAACCACTCGGTTACAAGAAATTGATCAAGTCAGTCTAAAATACCTCCTACATAGGAAATGCTTAGAACAGGACAGTTATCGAGACCTGCAGTCTTACTTTGAGCATAAGTATGGCTACTTTTTTTTTTTTAATAATCTCCACGGAGTGCCACAGTGCCCTTTCAATCTATAAATCTCATCGAAATTCCATAATTGCGTCACTACTGGTCTGTATTGTTAGGATGATCATAGTGATAAGCACAGATTTTTTGATATTTAAGCAGATGGGTTATGACCAATAATAAATACAAATATTAATGATGGTAACCATATGATGTGTGTTAATATATTATGTGTTTAGTAATAAATGAAGTATCTTTCCTCCTCCAGCTTGCTCTCGGTTTTGAAAAAATGCATTTGGTATGGTAAGAGCAAGGGGCATGAAAAAGATGGAGCAACAGCGCCAGCCATCAAAGGCCAGCATTCTTATCCAGTTATCCCCCCATATCAGTGCTTAATATATCTATGCATCTGCAGACATTTAGCAGATGTCCTGAAGGGCATACTATAACCACCCTTGTTCTATCAGAATTTATGTAACTTGTAGAACTTTATGAATTGATTGTAACTATGCATGCGTGCCGACGTCACAAACATTGGGAGAAATGTTGAAGATGCAAATAGTAACAAGAAGCCAATATCTTTATCCGAGCCCCATTCTACCAACTGCAAACAAGTGTTAGACATCTTTATCAAGAGTGAAAATTTCAAAGTTTAGTTTAAAGTTCCCTATAGCTCATAACCAACTGCAAACACTTGAGTCAAAGGTACTTAAAGAAAATGATGTTATCCTCTCTGCTACAAAGTAAACATGCTAATACTATCTCAATCAATTTATGATCAACAGCAAGCAATTTTCCCATCTGTAAAGTACCAATGTTCACATCATGTAGCGGAAAATACTCAATTTAGCCCCACTTTATCAGCAAAATCTAGCGGAAAATAAGGCAAAATTGAATCCGAATTAAGCAGATAAAGCTTTTAACATAAACATTATTGTTGAGAACAGTATAATTCCGTGTCAGTCAATCCATTTAGTTTGTTAAAAGGGGCTCCGCTGTATTTCATAGAACTTTCCATCTTCTATTCACCAACCAATATAAGTACCCCTGAAAGTCTGGCAGAAAGGAGCATAGATTTCAAAGAAACTCATAAATTCACTGAGAGTTGTCAATCAAGAACATGACAGAAAGCAAGAGAGGTTTGATGATGTTTAGGTCTTTCTTTCAAAAACTAACAAAGGGATATTGGGTTTCAGCATTCAGAGAATCACCTGCTCTCAACCATGCCGGATTTGATGAAGACATGAGCGTGGCTAAAACAGTCCCAGATGATGTTAAGGAAGGATTTTTTACAGTCTTTGCAGTGAAGGGAAAGGAAACACAGAGGTTTGTTATTGAATTAGACCAGCTAACAAGCCCTGCGTTTCTAAGTCTACTAGATCAGGCTCGGGAAGAATATGGATTTCAGCAGAAGGGGGCTCTTTCTCTCCCTTGCCGACCTCATGAATTGCAGGAGATTCTAGAACACAGCAATGAAAACAATGCTGGCACTGAAAGTAGGGCTACGTGTGATACTACCATACTAGAAAGCTACTAGGACAAATAACAGATTTCTTGTAACTTTTTCGAGCTCTTGTCCAAGTCAACACATCTTGCTTGATTTCAAAGATTTGTAAATTTTCAGTAATGCCATCCCGTGGAAGTTTTTGCAAAGTTAGTAATTGACATAGACATGTATATTATATCATATTAAGACCTCAGTCTTTGCTTTAGCTTCAACCAGAATTTACGTGCTTTTCCAAAGCATGGGTTAACTCGAATGCCTAGGAGGAACAACCAAAAGATTTTTAAAATGACATGCGTAATCCTTTTCAGATGTTTAAACAATTCCAAAGCCAAGGACGATACAGAACCATCCCCTTAGCACCACAGAATTATCAATTAAGTTAGAAATTCCACGTCACTACAGCTCAAGTACTTCACGTACTACAAGAAATGAACTTTTGCAAATGCAGCAATTAGTTCTTGTGAAATTTTTATTGTGCATACCGTATATAGATTACCTCCAAGTATTTGGAAAATCATTGGGCAATGGAAACAAGTTATATGTCAGAAATTTTGAGCTAATTTATGTTGTAAATCTTCCTGTCAATCCTGCAGTTTTTCACAGTTTATGTTAGCATGTGACTTGCTGTTTTCCCGACTGAAATTTTTAAACTTCAGTGTTCAGAGGTAGCTTACTAGATGAGTTGGCGAAAACTTTGGTATATCGGGTAAGATAAGACCATAGACTCTGAGCTCTTATCATCTCGAAAGCCAGATAGCGGCTACAAACCAGACGAAACTATTTTATGGTCCCATGTACTAGGCAAAATTCATCTGTTTGCGTCCCAACCGTCAGACAACAGTAGCACAGTTGTAAAACACGGTGAAAATCGTATTATTGCTAATGCAATTATTGGATACTGTCAAATCTTGACTAGTTGGAATGGAAAACCAGGGCCACATATAAGCAGCAAAATCCACTTGTTTCCAACTTTCAGGATATTGATCAAGTAACACTGAAGTGCCAATTATCTGAAAAATAGATATTGAGACAATGATTTCTTTGTGTATTAATATGAGCGACTTTTGCTTTGCAATCTTCCTCAGTGCCCTTTACGTTTATGAAGTGCAGTAAAATTCCGCAACAACAGCAGTGATCTATTATTATGATGACAATATCAATAGTTAATGACTGAATGCTTGATGTTTAAGCAGACGACCACTTAGTATCATGATGACATTCCTGCCATTCCATGTTCAGTGCAGATTTTGAGAATCAGGAGCAATATTAAGTCTTCATACAATCAGAGTTTGACGCTTAACAGCTTTGCAGTAGCAGAAAGGGAAAAGAATTCTGAAGTATCACATTCTAATCACTCAAAATTCTACCTGGTCTGATGCACCGAAGATAGCAGTAACTTGATTTCTTCTGCCTCTTCATGTTCTGTGTCCCTTTGCATCCGTGGCACTTAAATGCGACCAACTCTGAACTTTGATTTCAATTATCGTCTGACGGTATTTTTTTGGCATCACCCGAGGAGGGAAAAAGACGGTGGCCAATATCTTATACTTTTGTAGTGTTTCAATCAAATTCACTTTTGGCTTTCAAAATGATGAAAGGGCACTGCTTAACCACCTCCATGACTTTCTTCCCATCTCCTTACTGAGTGTGTCAGAGTCATACATTAAGAATCTATCTCCTGGAAAGGCACAGTAGAGTCAATGGCGGTAGGTCTTTACCATTGCTTTCCACAAACTTAAAAGGACTACGGTAAATTTGAATGCATTAAATACTATTATGCCGACACCATTTGTACCACCGGCAATCAAACTAGTGTAGCTTGGTCAGTCATAGGTACCATCTCCGAATTCTGTCTCTACAAGCGTTCAACAATAGCTGCATTTAGGAAAGAGTTTAAACAGGGCATGATCTACTCTAAACAGTAAGCAAGGGAAGACTCCATTTTTATTGATTAATTAACAGCAAAGAAGCAAAATAATTTCCTAGAAGCTATTTATAACATGGAGGCCTTTAAGCTTTAACCCGCAATTAAAAAAGGGGGTTTGTTAGCAAGAGCATTTCTTTGGGTTTTAGAACAAACATTCTTTGCAACTAATCTTATGTACCGGTACATACAGCCACCAGGCAGTGAATTAATTTTCACCACCGTATTGTTTTGGCTACTTCAACAATCAAAGGACTGATATTTTACATTTTTAAACTGTGAGATGGTAAACACAACTCACTGAGAGGCCGAGACATTGTGCCGTACATCCAACAATTGCATACGTTTTAGATAAGAAACTAAGCAATGATGTTGCATACCGCGTTTCAAAAGAACCCACTGTTTACAAGGAAGCATTAAATGATACTCGTTAGCTACCATATGAAAATGGCCCATAATGTCTCTCAGAAATTTCACATGTGCTTCCAGTTTCTTTTAACACCCCAGTCCCCAGTATAAATGTCTCTCAGGATCAGCAGATCATTCAGAATACGGAAACACAAAGAATTTCCAAGTCTCAAAGAGCTTTTGAATTTTGATCACAATTTGAGATCGATGTGTGTGAAAATGCAAACCTGGGAGCAGCGTCATACAGGGCTTCTCGTGCTTAGGCTTTTGATGAAAATGCTAAAACGAGTTCTCTCGGAATTTCCATCAAGAGGCCTTGATCAGAATGCTGTTGAGTTTGATGAAAATGTTGAAGAAACAAAGAAGATACCAAAGGATGTGAAGGAAGGGCATTTTGCAGTAATTGCAGTCAAAGGTGGAAAACCAAAGAGGTTTATCTTGGAGCTGAGCTACCTGAGGAATCCAGCGTTTTTGAGGTTACTAGAGCAAGCTAAAGAAGAATATGGATTCCATCAAAAGGGAGCTCTAACAGTCCCTTGTCAACCTGAAGAGTTACAGAAGATCCTGGAAGACAGAACAAAGAAAATTGCTAGTGCTTGGGTGTAACATAAAGTAAAATATTACTAGTACATTCTAGGCAGCTTCTAGGTCGATTATATCGTTTTCTGACGGGCTGATTAGTCTGATCTGAACCCTCTTTTCCTCCTATTATTTTCATGCCAATCACTAATCAAATGTGCCAAAGAAAAAAAAAAGTTTTAATGATTTATCATACACAAATGTCATGAATACATTTTTGCCTTGTCCTGTGTACTTGAAGAACACCATACACTTACAACTTCAGCAGAAACATGAGCCACTTTCAAGTTATCCAAGCATATTGGAAGAAAAGGTTTGAAGCACTACTCAATCTCCATTAATTTGGGATTACGTATTGGGTTGGGGAAAACTTTTGAGCAAAGCCTTCTTTTTTGGCTTGAAAGCGCTGACCTCTTGCCGCCTGCTGTATAAGCCCTTTGTACACCAGAGAGTCTATGCTTTTAGCTGCGTCTCTATTTATATCATTGCCTTGGTCCTTCCAAGATGAAAATATATGAAACTTAGGCTCGTTAAACTGCAATGTTAAGCATCTTCCTCTATGACTTGGTTGTGGCAAATTTCTAACTGCTACTAAACTGTTACCTTGATAAAACTACATGCAGAAAACTCAATTTAAGGTTCAACAACTTTGTCTAAATGGATATGATGACCCAAAAGGATGCAGAAATGTGTTAAAATTTTGATTGAACTATAGTAACCACGTCGCAACCAAGTGCTTCGAGGAGATTTATTACTTCAGAAACTCGAGTCTTTTTTGTTAAATACTGGTTCATAGTGCAGATATGAATACAATAGCTGACCATGAACCTGTGGTAGTTGTTTTGAGCTGTCCAATCTTTAATGGATAAAAAGGATACCATGGAGGTCTCTCATCTCATTCATATGCGCTCTTTGTTTTGGGTATGAACATGTGATAGTATGGAACCCATCTATAAGGCGAGCTCCTCACCACAGCCGCACCTACAAGGAGAGTACTTTCTATGCTAGTTGCGATGTTGGAGATAGGTATTGTAAAAATACCTGATCATGAAAACGTGTCTTCCTCTAACCCTGTTGTCTGATACTGTTTGCCAAATTTGTATGCTACTCAAATCTGTAGCATTGTTTCTTTTGTTCAATCCAGGAAACAGCATTACATGATTCTGTGGAAACAATAGGTATTGACTATTATCTGAAGAACAAGTAAAATCTTATTCCTTCACCACTTTGTTACTAATATTACATAATACCCCTTCCTACCTATACAGCTCTTTTCAGAAATGGACATGAACTATTCATCAAAGGGAATGAAAACGAATTACATAATAGATTAACATAACAATTGGAATTAATCTTGTCTGTAGCACCGATATAGTGTTATTTTACCTCCGAGCAATTATTTGGCCCCACAGGTTCTCTTAAGCAATTGGATATTGCCAAGACAGCAGCTTCAATAGATGCATCTTCTCCCTGTTTCAGCAAAAATGACTTAAATTACTTTGTTGAATGATAAAATCTTGCATAAACTAAACACCTAGTAAACAGTGGTTTATCAATGTAACAGGTACACTTTACCTTCTCTTTCCAATAAAACATGTTCCCATATTTCCCTGCCAAACGGCTCCAAAAGCTTCGTGGAATGTCTAAATCAACGGAAGCCCCAACATTGAAATTTAATATATTGCCTAGTCAGAGATCGTAATTAGAAAATATTCATATCAGATCAGAATTTAAAGACAAAAGCAGGACAAATCCTTTACCAAAGGTGGGATCAGCAACAAAAACAATAGTTCTATCATCTACTTGCCAAAAGTCTTTGATTGCCAACCCTGTAGCAATTTTAGAAGTTAAGTGATTTGGGACTTTGGTAACAGCTTTGAGAATTAAATCAAATACAAATAAACATAAATTTTAAAGAAAAAAGTTAATTAAAAAAGCAACAAGATCAATAACATAGTAAAAATAAATCATACCTGGTGTGTCAGGGTAATTTTGTGCTAGAACTCTCAATTTAAAGCCGGTATCCTTTTCAATATTACTGATCTCCTCTGCAAGCCTTTTCTCCTGGGATTAACAGTGCAAGTTAATAATAGTCTTTTGTTTGTAAAAGGGGGCATTACTTATCCATTAATCATCCTTTGTGTGCAACACTCATAATACGGTAGCATCACTCAATGAGAGGAAAGTTGAGGATCATCCATGTATTGAGGTTTTTAGCTGAGATAGGTTAAGGCTACATACAGAGAGCACCTCTACCACAAGGGATTTGGTTCCATGGCAAGACGACAACTTGTTATTCAGAAAATGAAGAAAAAGATACTAAATCCAAAAATTCAAGTCATTCAAGGGGTTAAGAACTTAAGACAAGAAATAAATGTTCTACAATGTTGACCATATTAATTCTATTTAAAACTCCATGGCTCCATTCTCAGTAAGCATGTAAATGATAAACCAATAAAGTATCCAGAAATGTGGAAAACATGCTTAAAAAGCTCTTCCCACCCCCCTTTCTAGTACCTTAGTGAAAGTTAAGAACATGAGAATCAAAACTAGATCGGAATGAAGGTCAAAAGCACAAAATAAAAGCATCAATTTGATAAAGTCTTAGTCATTGAGAACGCAATATAATCAATCAATTCAATCAAATTCCCTCACTGAGAAGCGAGAACCCAGATGTAATCAACCAATAGAAACTACTCTTAAATACCTCATGGAAATACTAGTAATCAAACTAATATAGTTCATTTTGAAGGACAAGCAAGAGAGAAGAACAAGATCATCAAACAATGCACATATATGCCATGAAAAGATAAGGACATTGAAAGAAACCAAACCTGGCCATCAGAGAGGAAGCCAGCTACATCAATCACAGAAGTGAACTCTTTAGGAAGTAATTCTGGCTTGTTAACCCCAACTTTGGCCTCCGCGAACCCAACCCCTATGAGATTTGGCTCATGAAAGCGCTTGATTTTGCAAATATAATAACAATAACAACAGAAGACCCAAAACCCAGATGATAATGAAACTTAAATAAAATAAACATCTAGCTAATTCTAAAGTTATCAAAGTATTGCTAAGAACATGATATACCACTGAAAACAGTCAAGCACCATCCATTGCAGGTTAATGGACTTGCCTGTTAGAGATAAACTAAGAGCAAGAGCACCAGAGAAAATCCAGTTCAAGGACTTGGCTCTGAAATCTTGGACCCAGTTGCGGGGAGTGGTTGAGTTTAAGCGAGGAGTAACTGGCAGAAAAAGACGAGAAGATGCTCTGATGGGCAATGAATAAGTAGGAATTGAGGTGATTCTAAAAGATGGAGATGGATACTGCAGAAAGGCCATGGCTTTTTTCCTTTTCTGGGACCGTAAACTGAAAGTGAAGTGAAACTCTTTCCAGGAGAGGAATAGGATTAACGACCTTGGCAAAGGGAGTGTGCAACCGGTCGAGTACGTGTCATGCTTATAAACTCTATTCTTTATTTATCTTTCTTGCTTTAGCATTGAACTGTGGAATGAATACACCCAAACTCTTGTTTCACTTGAAACGAGTTCATCCAACTTACACCGTGCCCAACAATTTCAGTTCACCTTAGAGGCTTAGACGACTTCTACTGTCGAAGTGGCACTTTTTTTGTTTGGGTAAGGTAACAAGATCATCCCATTGCTGGGTTAAAATTTCCCAATCAACCAACAACTACTACTGGGATGACATAATCTTGTGAATCGCATTTATGATCGATATATTTTCTTTCACTTCGTATTGGTTTCTCCTGGTTATCAAAAAGCGAATGCTTGTATCATAAATTGATACCATTCCTTTCTTAGGAACATGTGGTCAAAGATCCAAGAATCAAATTCCAGGCCAACAACCTTGGCGGAACCTGCATTGATAGATGACATGATCATATATTTGTATTTTTGTTTGCTTGTTTGGGGTTTTCCTTTTTATTTTTTATGCTTTTGGCACCGCACCCTCCTCTTTAGAAGGGCTTTCAGGGCATTAACAACATTAAAACCAAAAAGACATAAAACTTTGGCCAAATAGAGGAAGAAATCGTGCTTTCTCTGTTGAGCTAATAAAGGAATTATCAGTTTCTTGACAACTTTTAGAAAGCTGGCCGCAACACAGTTGAGGCAAAAATATTTATCAAAATGAAGATCAATAAGGATTTGATTCCTTTCTGAGTTCAACAGCAATCCATTGAAATTTAATTTAGCTACTCGTTAGAAGGGCAAAACAGGGGAGTGTCATCTAAACAATATTGAGCCAAATGCAAATAACCCATTTACTAACTCAATCTAATATGTTTGGGACAAAAAGGCTTAAACAGGGGAAGCACGGGTCATCCTATTACCCAAACTTGCCTAGCAGTAACTTAAGCAATTGAACACAAGTCAATTGCTCACCGACCACCACACACCCAGGGACGCACACAAGTCTATTAACTTACTAAACCTAGCATTCAATAACAATCTCCCCTCTCCTGTTTCCATTTCTCATGAGCCATTAAACAACAATCACTAATCATTCACCCTACTCCATAGAAAAATTTTGACATCACCGACTTAGCAGATTAGAGAAGGGTATATTTCACTCAACAGCATCATAAGAAACATATGGAAAAAGATAACAAAAGATCCTGCTATTACTTGAAAGACTTCAAATCCACCAAAATGAGAGAGGTGGGAGTGAAGACAGCATAATGGATTGGGAAGAAGGGGTGGAAACCATAAAGAAACACGAACTTTTCAACAGGGTACAATCCTCTTTGCCCAAACTACTTATCAAAGAGCATGCCTACACAAGCCAAAAACTAAGAGAAGTAGACAGACCAATTGAAATAATACGAGTCCCTGTGATCCTTGTCCATGCACTCATTCCACTGAAAAGACAAAAAAGGGAAGGTTTCATGAGAACATTTTATCTCCACTTTGTGTAAGGCATCTAAAAGAACTTTTTATAATACGTTTTAAAAACGGTTATCCATAAGTGATATCAAACAACAAACCTTAAATTTGTATGGTTGTTTCTTTGCCATTGCTTTTTTCCAATGGTATTGCTCAAATAACATTGCTTTGTCATGCCAACTGCAAATTCACATATTCAAAATTATTAAAGAAAAAGAAAAACCTGAACCTGCAATATTGGGGGTCAAGAGGAAAGTACAAATACAGGATAGAATCGCAGAATCCAGAATCTGGCACCAATGCATAAAACAAGCAGCAGAACACTGAGCTGAATGGGCTTTAGATAGATACCTTTTAACTCCTCTGTATTTCAAACATGCATGCATTTCACTCATATAAATACAATGATTGAGAACCCTATAGATTTCTGTAGACAGATCAAAATCTCAAATATTCATGTTGGCCAAGCCTAGCAAGAATATAGCAAATTCTTCAACAAGCATGTTTGATGAAACGATTCTGATGTAGCTAATAAGTCACAAATAAATGAAATATGACTCGCACCTTCCCTGAAGTGAACCGCAGTTAATGAGGCAAAATCCATGCATATTGCTGAGTATGAGAAGGTAAGAAGGAGCCTAATTCCAGCATTCCAGAATGGAATTTCGAGAAAATCCCTCAATAAACCAAACTTGTATAACTTAAGTTGGTCAGGAAAATAGCTATAAATTCCAAAAGAAAGAGAACTTGCTAAAGCCGCAGGAAAAAAAAGCAATAGTAGCCCTTGAACACTAAAATTTGTTCGGTTGACCCCTGCTCAAAATCTGGGAAATTGAGACTCTCAGAAGGGAAGAAATGCTACAATCAACCTATGCCGACCAAACCAGACTATAAGCTTAATGGAAACAATGAACTATCTATCCTATACTGTGAATATAGAAACTCAAAATCTCAACTTTACATAATTGAAATTTTAAAAAAAAACTCATGATGCCCATAAATTTCAGCCCTCTTTCATTACCTTCAACTGCAACCAAAATCACTTCGGGGAATCAAAACATGAAAATCGAAGATTGAAGATAACATCCTCCAAAAATATAATATCAAAAATAATATATATATATATATATAAAGAGAAAATGGTTGAACAAAAATTACTTGAATTGGTTAGAAAGCTGCCACATGTAAGGTTTGAACCAAGTGATAGCGGAGAAAGCAGCTGACCCGATCCATATATTCACGAACCGATCCGGACTCGCATGAGGCACTCCCGGGTCCCCTCTATATGCATTCCCGAAGTACTTCTCCATTTCCAAACGCTCCTTGTGTTTCTGCAGCGCCCTTGCAACTACAAGCCAAGCTCTTATCTTTACAAGAAAAAGGAAAAGACTTTAAAAAGGAAAATATAATTTTGGGCCGGCCTGCTAGGCCCAAATAGAAAGCGAGTGGTAAGTAAACGATACTCGAGAGAGGGAAGCCGCGGATCTTTTAGCTTTTTATTGGTTAAATTCGTTTACTAAAGGTCTATAAATAAACCCAAAAAAACTTTCACTGCGTCGACCCCTCACTCACCTCTTTCGAATTTTGGTTTTTGTTTGATCCGCTCCTTTTTTAGGGTCTGACAAGGTTTTTTTTTTTTCTCTTTTTTCAATTTCCCAAATTTCACTCATTTTCCCTCCATTTCCGTTGACCACCTTTTTTGGAAACGCTTGAAACCTCTTGAAACAGTTAACGTCTTTCTTAGGGTTTTGTTTTGGGTTGGGTGCGCTTTAAAATTTGGCTCTGTTTCTTTGGTTTCTGCTGAGGTTGTTCTTTTTCCCAGTTGATTTGAACTTGGATGGCTGGTAAGGCTTCAAATTCTGTTCTCTATCCACGATTTTGATTCTTTTTTCTTCTTGTTGTAGAAGTAGATGTTTAGACCTTTTTCTAGGGTTTTTGGGAATCGACTGTAATTCTTCGTTTTTATTAGCTTCCTGAGAAAATATAGAAAGAAAAAAATTTTGGGTTTTGTTTGGTTCTTGGTGTTTCTTTTTAGAAAACAAACCTTTCCAATTAACAAGATAGAGGGTAATGGCTAGTTTCTTTTTTTCTTTTTTTCTCTGAGTAATTAGTATGAGATTAATGGGGTGAAAGAAAAGATAATGTCAGAATTTTGGGGAAAATAACTGTAAAATTTGATATGAGGTTTTGAACATGAGCCATGGAGGTGTGGAGAGTACAAGAGATACAAGAGAGAGTGAAGGCCAGCGTAGCTTGCCTTTGGGAAGACCAAAAGCTGATGACTTTGGAAGAGCGGTTTCAAAGATTTCAGTGGCACAGATATGCGAGAGTGTTGGTTATCAGGGATTCAAAGAGTCTGCTTTGGAGGCTCTTGCTGACATCACTATTCGATACCTCTGTGACTTAGGAAAAAATTCTAGTTTTCATGCTAATTTGGCTGGTAGGACAGAATGCAATTTGTTTGATATAACTCAGAGTTTAGAAGAATTGGGAGCTTCGTATGGGTTTTTGGGTGCTTCGGAGATTGGGAATTGTCTTGCAGGCTCTGGTGCAGTAAGGGAAATAATTCAGTTTGTGGCTTCAAAAGAGGAAATCCCGTTTGCTCAGCCAGTGCCTCAGTTTCCAGTTGTTAGGAATAGGAAGCTGATTCCAAGTTTTGAGCATATGAATGAAACCCCACCTGGAAAGCATATCCCAGCATGGTTGCCAGCTTTCCCCGATCCTCACACGTATATTCATACACCTATGTGGAATGAGAGGGCATCGGATCCCCGTGCTGATAAGATTGAGCAAGCAAGGCAGCGGAGAAAGGCTGAGAGGGCTTTGTTGAGTTTGCAACAGAGATTGGTGTGTAATGGTTCTACTGAAACTTCAGCTTCCTTGGTGGTGGATGCTAAAAAGGAAACTATACAAGAAGCTGGAAATAATGCTTTTCTTGCTGCCCCACTGCAACCTGGGGAGAAAGATGTCGCACGAGTTGTTTTGCCAGCTAAGCTTTCTGATGAAGTGAGCAAGGACAATCATGTTTCTCTGCTAGAGGCATTTGCTCCTGCCATTGAAGCAATGAAAGGTGGGCCATCTGGTGAATTAGATGGTGAAAAGATGCTCCTTCCTGAAAAGAGGCCTGCTGTTCATTTAAAGTTCAGAACCGGCAAGAAAATCTTGGGTCAGTCGCTAGATTTGAGCTTGCAGAAGAAAGGTGAGAGGAGCACAACATTCTTTTTACGTGATGAGGAGAGGGATGATAAGAAGAGGAGAGCTGAGTTTATTCTCAGACAAACTACGGAATACCCAATGGAGCTTAACCAGTCTTAAAGTGTATTTTAGGTTGTCTTTCTTGAAATCTCATAAATTTTTGTTAGTAATCAATTGTTTCAGCGGGCTGTGGATGCTTAATTTTAGGGTCACACTATTGCTCTTGCATGGATATTATGGAATCACACTGTTGAGAGTCCCACTCTAACCGAGATTAGAGGTATGGGAGCAATTGTTTTTGACATCACTAGCTCTAATCTCAAGTAATTCTTTGAGAATGAGGTTCTTCACTTTCTCTGCCATCTTTGTTGTACTGAATACTGATACACTGACTTCTATATTGGATTACGAACTGAAAATTTTCTGTCAATGGTTTCAAGAAATTTTTTTTTTTGCTGACATGTAAATTGCATCCATTTACAATATCATCATTGCAACTTGAATTAAGTTATGTCTTAATAAACTCTTTTGATGGGAAATAATTATGTTCTCAATGTTGCTAAAAGATTTCCAGCTGATCGCCTACAATCACTCCATTGTAGGCTGTAGGAAACTAGTTTTTAGAAATTTGCTTTATAACAAAAGAACGGAATGAGAGAGATGGAGAGAGAAGCCAAATTAAGTCTATGAAGATTGAGTTGAATCTATTGATGCTGTGACAGACAGGTGGCATTGATACATGTTTCTACAAACATGCCTTTGCATCCGTGTACTTTTCTGCTATTGTTTATGAGGAAGGATTGATTATATGTTTAGATTTAGAAGATGACAACATACAGTGACTGTACTTTGGTTATCTAATTTATTTTGAAGGAATGAAGCATAGAGATATGCCAATGCAACACCTCTAGAAGAGACTGTTTAGCACCTGCAAAATGATATCCTTAGATTACCAGTGTGATTACGTGACTTCTATGCTTTTATGATAATATTTTTGCAAGTTCACTTGCTTCACAGGGTATGACTAAAGCACCCTTTTGATTGAAGCCATACTCTTCTTCTGCTGCGTCGAGTAACTTCCTAAATGGTGGATATGTGAGATAGCTAAGTGAAACAAAGAATTTCTTGGGCTCACCATTTTTGAGTACAACAACTGAGAAATGCCCCCTTTTCAAAGGTCTTGAATTTTCTATCCTTTCTGTACTTCTGTCATCCTGGGTTTGCCACCAAAAAATGGAGAGGAAAATGTTCTTCAGCTGCTTCATGAACCTGAAGCTGTGGGTTCTCTGATTCATTTTAGCCACGTCCATGTGCACTGAGCTTGTCTCCCTCTTCCTTATAGATGTTTCTTGTTTAGATTTTTGTTGTCTGTAATGTGAACTTCTGTTGGATATAAATAGGGAAAGCGTCCATCTTGGCAATTATTGGTTTTTTTAATGCATGTGGTCATCCTCTGACCCCTACTTAGCTAAATGTGGGGTTAGGAGGATTTCTGATTGAGACTGTGGGAAAGAATTTATTGGCACATTTTGTGCTTCTAGGATTTATTTGTGTGATGATGATAATTACATTTATAAGCTTCATTATTTTTATGGTTTCATGTGTTCCAACAGAAATGCTTATCATTTATGCATGGAGTGGCCAGTCAACTTGAACCCACTTTCTGGCGTCACTGTCTATCCAAAACTTTATTATTGCATCAGAAGATATGTTTGCACTCTGCAGCTTTGTTTGATGAGTCTACCAAATGTTACGCAAATATTGCCACGCCTGTTTGTTTAGTACTCATTCGCATCCAGACAACTAAGAGTGTGGTGGTACAGGGGAAAAGTGCTGCCGATGGGAGCTGTCTGATTTTGGATTGTGGAAGAAAATTGTTGTACCGTATCATAATGTTGGAGTTATCCGAATGCTGGACAAGATATACCTCAAATGTGCATGCACGTATAAGTTCGTCCACGACGGTACATGCATCTGCCAAAGGCGGTTTTTCTTGCATGGTTGTACCCTTGGCTGGTCAATTTATGCAAGGAAAATGTCCCTCCGCACATCTGTCCTCTTATAGTATTCTAGTTACTAGTTCTTTCTACGATATTTCTGCAGAAATCACTTGTCAGGAGAGCATTTCAGCCTCTACAAGACCAAGGATCAAGTCTGAGTGGAGTTTCAGGATTAAAGCTGTCCCTGCTAAACTGTCCCTACAAGACCAAGGATCAAGTCAAAAATCCTTTCTGGGTTTTCCCCACTTCTTCAAGTGCATTTTATCCGTCAGTACTACTCAAACTAGACAGTTTCTTTATGCAAATTTCAAGATCATCGAAAAGCATATAGCTAGTGGAATTTTGGTAAGAAAATGCCCGCAACAGTGGAGGGCACAAAAAATATTCGGAGATGCTTCTGCTTGTAACAGAAACCATCAAGCACTTAAGCTTCCCATCTTCTGCTAATATCTGATATGTAAAATTACTCAAGACTACATTCTTTTTAAGGCCAAATTCAAAATCACTTCCTAAGTAAGGCAGCTTTAAACTGAACACTTGGGTATAATTGGAAATTTCAAATATTTGTTCCATACCAAACATGAAACAGGTTAGAAACTACAGACAAAAGAAAATTAAGAGGAGGAATGTCTTGAATTGCTGGCCTGCTATGGCAATAATTTGAACTCACAAACACTCAGCCGATCAGGCAAAATAATATAAAAGCAGACAAGGCCAAAAAATAAGTGTTGATTTGAAAAATCACTAACACGTCTTGAAGACAGTACACCTGACACCTAGGCCCTCAACTTTTTTGGTTCAACACTCCCCTTAATCAAAGCACAATGAAGCTCCTTCAATCTTAATGCTTCAGCTTCATATCAATTTCTAAAGGAAATGCTTTGGCTCTGTGATTGAAGATCATGAAGTCCAAGTTTGCTGATAAGGAAACAATCCTGCATTCCAGATTATACATCTTGATGTCAGTAACCCGTATAATTTTCCTACAAACAACAAAGCTAGCACAGGTAATAGTAGTTATTATACATTTTTCACTTTCCTACAAACTCATTGTGAGATTGAGGATGACGGATAAGAAGTTTAATTTGCACACTTTTCTAAAAAGCTTAATTACAGAACAGCTACCAACATTGAAAAGAATGATCAGCCACAGCCAAGGTCAGGTGTGTATTTTAGGCTTTCTTATCCATTTTCAGCAATACCGGGCAAGCAAAGTAAAACAAAAATAGAAAAATAAAAAGCATTAATGGAAAGTTAAGTAGAAAGTATGCATGAAAGCATGAGGCTGAGAGTTTCTTAAAAGCAGCTATCTTCTCTACCTATTAAAATGCAAAACAAGCACAGTAGTCTTTCATTACCATTGAAGTTTACAGTATTCAAATAGAATGAAAATTCAAAACCACTAAGGACAGATTCTTAGTGACGGAAAGATATAGCTGAATGTGGATTTCCAGGAAGAGAATGTTGTCTGAAATTTCTTCGAGGGATAATAAGCAAAGATTAAACACATTTACAGATTCAAAGGCATATCTGTCCATGCAGAAATTGGTAAGATGCAAGTCCTTGATTACCAACTACAATTCAACTCAAGCCACTAGGTACAAATGCTAGATCATGCATTCAAAATCGATAAAGGTAATTTACGGAATACTTTCACACCAACATATGGAGGCATAATAACTAGCCTGTTTCAACTAAACAAATGACAAAAGACAGTCAGGGTAGGATCATGATTCCTAAGACATCAATAGCATTTTCAGTTTCGTATTCCAAAACTAGTAAGAAAAATGCCCTGCATCTGATTGTAGTTCACCACAACTTCATTACCCAAAGACAATAGGTTCACAGCCAACACTTTCCTTCGCCCAAGTTAACAAATATAGGTGCCTTCTTGCCCCCAAACTTACATGAATAAACAAAGCATCAACATCAGATCATCTAATCTGACCCCTAATGCAAAATTAAGCCATTTAATTCAGAAATAACCACAATTTTATCTTCATAAAACACTCAGAATTGAAGTAATATATAGTTTCCACGTACCTATTCTCCTCGGAATCAGGATGTATCGAGAGAAACTTCCCGGGCACGGTTAGGGCAGCCCAAATACAGAAAACAAACCCTAGAAGCAACTCTAAAACGACCTGCTTTTTCAGCATCAATTTCTTTACTTTAGAGTTTGTATAAAAAAGAACACAACTTTGTCAACAGCAACAAATCCATTAAAAAAAATTTCAAACTTACATTCATGGGAGGACCTGAAAACTCCTCCTCCATAATCTTCAACAATCCCCTATCTGAAAAAACCAATCAAAAAAGAAAATTCAAAACTTTATCGATCAAATCAAATCGGAAAGGAGTAGAAAGTTGTCGGAATTTTTACACTGAATTGTAGAATAAGCTGCGTGGGAGAGGATTAGAACTCCAAAGACTCCGATTATAAAGCCTAATCCCATCGTTGACGATCGGCTTTTCCTCGGTCGATTCACAAATCACAACCCAAAAGCCAAAAGAAAAGCTCAAATTTTTGTTATTTTTTGTCACTAAACTGGAAAGGGAACTAGTTAAAAACTTGAAACCTCGATCCTTGAAACGACATCGTTTCTTTTTAATATTTATGATATTTTTTTAAATAATATCAAAAAAATCCCAAAACTACTTAAAATTTTTAAATAAATTTTATATTTAATTATATTTAATCCAATTTTTATATTTTTATTTTTAATCAAATAAATTTTTATTATTAATTATTAATTTAATTAAAATATTATTTATTATTTTATATTATATAATACTAATACAATATATAAAAATATCAAAATTAATAATAATATAACATATTGATATATTATAAATAATAATGATATAATATATTAATTTAATATAATAAAGTATTCATATGAAATTTTTATTTTTTATATAAAAATTATATTATTAACATGTGAATATAAATTGATAAATAATATTTTAATTAATAAAAATTAATTAATTATTAAAAATAAAAGTTTTTTAATGTAAAATAAAAATAAAACAATTTAATTAAACATAATAAAAAGATAAAGATATATTTAATTTTTAAAAAAAACATATAAAAGTTTATTTGGGTATTATATTTTATTTTTATTTCTTTTCCTAAACGCAGCGTTTCATGAGCTCCGCTTATCTACGGCGTTGGCTGCTGAGAAAGTGCAGTGGAGGGGAACAATTAGTCCAGAATTTGCAACTCCAGAGTAGAGCTGTTTTTGATTGAATTTCATTGCAAATTTTGGACTTTATTTTTAGCTTTTTCTGTTTTAATGCTTAACTCTTTTACTTATTAGCAGAGAGGAAATGAGTCAACTTTTGAATGCACTCCGGGAAACTCTTGTATTAAGCAAATTAAGTTTCCACAACTATCCTAGGAAAGGAAGGAAGTTGCTTCAACATGGGTCATGCTCTTATCCCATAAAGAACATTCAATTACCTTTGCAAGGTATGAATTTTGAGACTAATGGCTCAAGATTTTTTTTTTTAATTTTTTGCATTTTTTTCTCAAAGATGCTTTCTGTGCAGGTGGTTTGGAGGTTGTAACTCATGTTAAAAGTTCTCATATGGAGAAGGTACCTTAATTTTCTGACTGCCCTTTTTTGGACCTAACATATTCTAGGACTTAAATAATTATGGATAAGCATTGGTAATTACCAACAAAAATGTTAGCATATTTTGGAGTTTAAAACAATGTAAGCTAATGCATTATTAACCCTGCGTAGAATATGAAGATTACTCAGAGAAACCTGAAAATGTCTTACATAATCTTTGATTGTCTGTATAAATTCTTAAAGCCCTTTGGAACATTAACAACGTCATGTATGAATGCTAAAAGAAATCACATTTGAGAATATAGGTTCATTGAATTCATTCTAATGTCGTATGGCCCATTATTATATTTATAGCTGTACTTGTATGTCCTTTTGGCTCAAGTGGCTCGATATGATTTGATCATTCAGCTAGTAAAAAACATTTTCAGGTTGGCTGTGAGTTAATGTTCTCTCCCAATTGGATTTTTCCCTAGGCTTCTCTCTGTGATGGAGTAGAATTGGAGGCCTGGCCACATGTACAAACTCTTAGAGAATTTCCTCGAGAGGAGCTTTTTGCAAAAGTTGTTATGGTGAGATTTGATTCTACCATTTTCCTTGGGGAAAAACTGGATTGGAGTTCTCAATCTGCTTTGAGAGCACTTTACACCATTAAGTTTTTACATGAATCTGGGGCCAAGGTGATTCTCGTGAGTGCATGGAGTATGAAAATCAATCCCAAACTTCTTGCTGCAGAAGCTGTTGCTGGTATTTTAAGCCATTCCATCTTTAAATTTAAGCTCTTGAAAAATTTTGTTTTCTAATAAAAAGCTTTAATTGGTAAGGACTAGCAGTTTTTTTTCCCTGGCAGTTAGAACCTGTTGTTTCTATAAAACATTGGGAATATTAGCATAGTGGAGGAGTAATGTGAACATGAAAGCACAAGACTTAAATAACATTGTCGCAAAGTGATTTATACCATAGATTGAGTCATATAGATATTGGATAATGAGGCTTGATTCAATCCTTAGTCAGTCTTTAAACCATTAGTTTGAGGAGTTGCTTTGTGGTTAATGTATTATTCTCTCCACATTTCAGATATTTTGTCATCAGTTCTCCAGTTAAAAGTTGCTGCTTTAAGATGTATTTCTTGCAACATGCCATTGGAGAGGAAAGATCTGCAGAAAGCAGACATCCTTCTTCTAGAGAATCTTTCCAATTATAAAGAGGAAGCTGCCAACTGTTCAAAGTTTGCGGAACTTTTATCATCAGAAGTTGATTTTTTTGTTAATGACTCATTTTTCCAGTCTCATAAAATTCTTGCATCAACAGTTGGTGTTGCTCGTTTTTGCTATGCCTCTATGGCTGGTTTTTCCTTTGAGGAAAGCCTTTGTCAGCTCAAGAAGACTGCAAAAACTAACAAGAAACCATATATTGCAATTGTATGGATTTTCTTTCTAGTTATTCTGTGACAACTATTTGTATTAATTTATGTTCCTCACTTGTTAGCGCTTCCTATCACTTGCTACAGATTGGAGGAGGCAATCTCAACAACAAGGCAGCTGCTTTACAATTTTTAGCATCTAGATGTGATGCATTGGTCTTCGTTGGACAAATGTCCTTTCAGATAATACATGCTTTGGGACACTCTGTTCCACCTAATCTGGTGGAACTTGAGTCGCAAAAAGCAGCTTTAGACATTGTACAGTTTGCACATGATAAAAATGTGCTCATATTGTATCCAAAAGATTTTTGGTGTGTGAATCAGCACCTTCCTAAGCGATTGGATTTTCTTCCTGTTCATGGAGTTTTAGATGGTAAGATTGCTTTCAATTATGACATACATTGTCTTCTTTGTTTTTACTTTTTTTCATTTTGGGTGCTGTTTTCAGGGTAAAGTAGGAATTCAATGACTTTTTCATTTTTACTTTTTGTGAAAAAGCCATCTTTGTTCATCTAAATATATACTTAGCTAGGATATTGAAATTATGCACCAATCCATTGGTTGGGTACCGTTTGAGATTCAGCATACCTTACAATGTGGTGGTCATAATGTTAAACCATCTGGCTGGCTTTTTTGTGTCAATCGCCTTCATATCTTTCACGTTTGTATAGGAACTGAAGGGTTTCTTATACAACATCTATGATCCATAAACCTTTTGCCAAAGTTTGTGTGGTAACTGATGCTTATCAATATGTATGACTATTGGGAAGTAGATATATGGTATTAAGTTTTGTCTGTTTAAACTTTTCAAAAAAAAAAATGTTTCGTCTGTTTAAATTTTTAATTTTATAATAAAAATTCTCTAATTGTAATAATTTCCCTGTTTTAAATTATTCATACGGTAACTTTTCTGTCTAGGTTGGTTACCAGTTGATCTTGGACCTAGTTCATTGGATGAAATAAACTCTCTGGTTACAAATTCCAAGGTAAAGAGGAAATTGATTTCATGGTACTATAACATAACCTGTTACTTTTGGTTGAACAGAGGTCTTCCTTCATTTGAAATTGTTGGCACTGGTTTTATTTTGAGGGTCTATTATATGAGCATGTGGGTAAGAAAATTATTGATATTTATCATTCCACGCATAAAACTTTTTTTACTTTGAAAATTTTAGGACACATTGGTATAATTTAGCTTTACCTAGTTATAGCATGCTACATGATCTTGGAGACAAAATCATTAACTTTATATTCCTGATTATAAGCTCCAAAGTATGATGAATGGAATATTTGACAACTTTAATTTGATATTCATTTCTATTATGATTATTAGTATGTTTATTAACCAATTAAAATTCTTGTTTAATTGATTTAACATTTTATGATGTAAATGAGTATGTATGAAGAAATTATCAAAACCTTAATTTTGAAAAAAAATCTATATTTTATGTGTCTGTATCATTTTTGTCCTATGGAAATGAGTATGTATGAAGAAATTTCCAATACCTATAATTTTGAAAAAAAAAATCTATATTTTATATGTCTGTATCATTTTTGTCCTATGGATTTCCTCTATGGTGTAACTGTTTAATTAGCTCAATGTTGTTTCTGGTGTTATCATGCTCTGACTTACCTGGATGAATTTGCTTTACAGAAAATTATATGGATTGGTCCAGTAAAATTTTGGTCCTCCAGTCCATATACAGGAGGAACTTCTAAATTGGCTCAGATGCTTTACAAACAGTGTCAATGTGAATGTGAGATAACGATTGTTGGGGGTACAGCATGTGAAGCAATCAAAAATGAATCAAGCTCTGTATCTTCTTTTAACATGCTGGAAAACGCTTCAGCTGTTTGGGAGTTTCTCAAAGGACAAAAGCTGCCTGGGGTCATGGCCTTAGATAGAGTATACCAACTTCTGTGTTTAGTTTTTACTTAACCATTGTGCCATATAGTATGTAAAGTACATATTTTCCAATTTTGCATCATGTGCAAGGGTAATGCTTATAGTTTTCACTTGAAGGGCCTTAGACAAATGTGCTTGACATTAATAATGAAACAGCAAAGGTAGTATCAATGCAATTTTTCGTATCTTTCAGGGGCTGGTGCATTATCTAGTCTTGGATAAAAATGCCATAGGGATTGGTTTATTGGTTCTAGTTTCAAAGAACAAAAAGTTACAAATTTAGGGATTTCTGCTTAAAACGAATGCTCTGTGCAGGCATATCCATTTGAGATTGACTGGAATATTGCCTACTCTGATCCATCCCGACCTTTGGTTGTTGATATTGGAAGTGGTACTCTTCTCCTACCAGTTGCCTACAGTTTCCTTAAACAAGTTGTTCCTATTACATAGCAATGTCCCTAAAGAAAAACAAAATCAGATAATACTTTTTTGAGGGGCCAGAAAGCAATGAACTTATCTATATTTATTTACTATTTTGGACAATATGTTGTCAAATTCTTCTTTATTATTGATTTGTGCATCTGATATGTCAATGACAGGTAATGGACTCTTTATCATGGGAATGACCAGAAAGAGGAAGGATCTGAATTTTCTTGGTTTGGAGATTAATGGAAAGGTTTTCGTTTTACCTCTCTGATGGTATGTCTTAAATATTATACTATTTCTAATGCTTATAAACTTTTCAGCTTGTAAAACGTTGTCTGGATTCTGTTCATCAATCTGGCATCACAAATGGGTAAGGGCGCTTGCAATTAGTACCAAAAAGATGTATATGATAAAGACTAACTGAATTATTTTAGTATCAATTTAACCTGACTTGTATATCATTAGCATGTTGTTTTTGTCATCTGTCTTAGGTACTTTATTGAAACAAATGCAACATCAACATTCCGTTCCATTGTTTCCAGTTACCCTGGAGAATTGGTTCTTCTTTCGATACAGGTTGACAATAATGTTTAGCCGGTTCTAATTTTGATATTCTCATCTTTTATGGCAATGTGGAATAAGCTTCCTTCCCCTTCTTTATGCCAATAAACAGTATTTAAGCAGGATTATTATGTCATGTAGTGCCCAAACCCGGATTTTAACAAACCAGAACATAGGTGGAGGATGCTGCAAAGGTCATTAATTGAAGCAGTGGCAGATCTTCTTGCGTCTAAGGGGAAGGTAACGTAATTTTGTTGCAGCACATGAACTCTCAAGGTTCCATCTTGTTTCTTACTAGTTCTAATATTCCTTAATTTCTATGTTGAAATTGGAATCTGGAACAAGATTAAATCAGAACATTATTGAACAAATCCTATTTGCAGATTTGGCCATCTTGTTTCCACAATTTGGCTGTGTTTTCCTTTTGTTCTTTTGGCCATTGCTGATTACCACATCAGTGATAGTAGTTATATATTATTTCTTGGTGAATGGAACAGCTGAAATTGCAATGATTGGTACTCTATAATCAAGCAACAAGAAATGCAGCTAATGAAAGGCCCTCCTCAATATAAGTTAGGCAAGGACGATATTCATATGTGTTTACTGGCTCTTTTCCTCAGGTCTTTTTGCAATCTGATGTTGAAGCAGTTGCTATGAGACTGAAAGAAGAGTTTTTGAAATATGGAAAGGGTAAATTTCATGTATTGCATGATCGTTACGACCTAATAATTAATGGAAATACATGGCTCAAGGAGAACCCATTTGGAATTCATTCAGACTGGGAGCAACATGTCATAGGTCGTGGAGCTCCTATGTACAGATTAATGCTCTCCAATGCAACGGCTCTTGAATAAGTTGTTGGAATTTGCTGGTTCTGAAAAGTTGGCCGTAGCTGGGATGCCCTCATACTGCTTGAAGATCATTTGTAGAGAAACTAGATTTCAGTGCAGCCATGGTTTACCTTTCTTGGAGGTAAGTCTCAGCCATGTTTCATCTTATTGTTAATCCCTAGGGAGATCCTGAGTTATTGTTTTATGCCAGTCTAGGGAAAGGTAACTCATTAATTCTCCTACTTTCATGGTTTTATCAAGTTATTACTAATGCACTGAGTAATTTATATGAATCAGATGAACATGAGCTACATGCTACAACTTTCATGAAATTTTCTTTGCCAGACACTGGAAGCGACTGCAATATGCATGATTGCTCGGATATCTGTGAGGAAATGCATGACAAGCAACCTTGCCAAAGCAGGGAATTGAACTCAGATGTTGGGCACTTGGCAGCGTCATGCTTATGGCAGTAGAGACTACAAATTGCCAAGAATGGTTACCTTGACAGAGTCTATATAAGGCAAAAGTTAGCAGCTTTTAAGACAGGTGGAGAGCTATCAGTTTTTAAGAAAAAGGAACAGCAGTTTGTATTTTCCTTTTCTTTTGTGAACTTCCATTATCAAGCCCTTCCTGAATCTGTAGCTTAGAAAAATTTTAACATGAAGGCATCTATTCACCCCCCTGTGACATCATGATTTGATCAACCTTTTTCCTTGAGATTGTGACCAAAAGAAAGAAGCTTTTTTCCTTGGATTACTGTGGTCACACAAATTCAAGCTGCAGTCAAAAGCAAAAGAGAGTTCATCATTAGAGCCCCAGAGTCAGAAGGTAGCAGCATTATTTCATTTGATTTGGGTGTCTTGGATTTAACCTGGAAGGTTTCTTTCTTTGTAGTATTGTATTCCCCAAAAAAAGGCAGAAATTAAATAATAAACAATCAAAAGCACTTTTCCAATGAGAGGAATATGAAGTGGCAACAGGCAAAAGCATTTCTGTCTTGGATGCTCACATTCACATGCAACTTGGTACATTTATATATACCCAATAATTCCCTTCCCATCTTTAATTTTTTTGTGGTCCTTGTTTTTGGTTTAAGCATTTGATGTACCATCTGGTATGGAATAACTTTCCTTCAACAAAGTATTGGGTTAAATAATTTTGACATTTCAACTAATTAAAAAAAAAAAGAAATAATTCCAACCAAGAAAGTATTAAACTAAATGGTCAAATTTGAATGAAAAGATTAGAAAAATGAACAAAGTAAAATCGGTCAATAATAAAGTCGGTCCATTTTATTCTGCCACCTACTTCACATGTTACATTCGTACCCCTATCATTTGATTAAATTTTGCTTTAATTAATAATACCAATAATAAATTATTTATTTAATGTCATATAATAATAAAAATTTTTCATTTTGCTTCTGGCATGTGACGTGCCCTGCCTTTATTAGATGTATGATATTTATTATTTTTAATTATATAATTAAAAAAATGGGACAATAATATTCCATTTTTACCTTCTTACGTCAACAAAGAAAAGAAAATTTAGCTCAGTCCATTTTAATTTCCTT